AGGGTAAAAAAAAAAAAAAAAAAATCGCAGTAAAAATACCCGTATTTATGGTTTTATCACTAATACCTAAAGTGTAGTTCATGAAGGTTACAGCCTACCTGTAATTATAACTCCATACCACCACATGCATTCTGAGCTGCTTTTATTTTATGAAAAAGCTAATTTCAAGCCTACATTAAGTTGAATACAGTCTTTGTGAAGAAGGCCTGGTAGTCTCATTTACAAAAACATGGCCAGTGTTCTCTCTGGCCTTAAAATTTCAGGAAGGGCACTTCAAATGGCTTCGTGGTCGCATGTTTCAGTGCCAGAGCATAGGAGTAGACTCTGGCATCCACTGTAAGATGTTCTTCCGCTACCAGAGCTACAGGAAGCAAACAGTATCACAAGTCAATCAGCACTTAAGGAGTGGAGTCACTTATTACATGGGAGTCCCTATGTGAGATTCTGGTGATGTGTGCAAAGACCTCACTCCAAAGGAAGGATAAGGAACACTTGAGTGGCTGAGGCAGGAGGATCACCCCAAAGTCAAGGCCAGTCTAAACTGCACAGCAAGACCTTGTCTCAAAAAACACAAGAACAACAAAAGGAATAAAGGAGAGAAAAGCAGGATCACGTTCCCAGCACGAGACAAGCACAGCAGGGATAATGATTTTACACACAAGCTGTTAAGTTTATAGTTCTGTTACAATTCACTTATAGTTCAGGCAGGGCAAACTATTCCAAAATACTAAGGTGATGATTATACAGTATCTCATTCATGGCGGTGTGTCCACCACTAGAGGGGACACATTTCCTCCTTGCAAGCTGAACTATGTTCATGTTAGGGTGTACCAAGGGTATGCTGGAAGGACACTACCAAGAAAGGGATTTGGAATCACTGCAGACCTTAGATGTTCCGTGTCAGTGTGAGGGAGGCTGTCACTTTGGCTGTTGATCTGGTGCTTGTTTTTTTAATTTTTTTCCAGTACCGGGGATCGAACTCAGGACCTTGCACTTGCCAGGCAGGCACGGCGCCACTGAGCTACATCCCAGCCCCTCCTGGCCACTTACTTGAAAACAAGCTGAGCCAGTATAATCCTTGAAGGAGGACGCAACACCCTCATTGCCTGTGTATGGCTGGGGGCTGGCAGAAGCTGAATGCTATACTCTTGTGTGGCATGATCTTAACACGCTCTGCTTACAGTCTCAAATTTTCCTTCTTGAATAAATTATTTGCTGTATCTTGACTCTACTAAAACTAGGCAAACATTCCTTTATCCTTCCTGGTATTCTCTCCACTTCTAAGACCAATAGGGAAGTTATGGTAGGAGAAAAAAAAGAAAGATTAGAAAAAGGATATTCTGCTTAGATAAAAAGTAAAACTACATGGTATGTAACACCCATGGCACATATCTGTCTAAATTATCCCATTTAATTCTGCTCATTCCTCTCAACAGCAGGGCTACTGTTCCGGTTTTGTTTTATTTTTTAAAACTTAGGCTAAGACCTGCTCAAGTCATAGCTAGTAAGATTAAGCTGAGTGTCAAATCCCAGCCAAGCCCATCAGACCTGTCAGATCTGAGTGGTACTCCCTGTAATCCTCATATATTTCTCTGAATAAATGTCCCATAGGTTACTATATCTCTTACCATTTTTAAGTATGGCTTTGAGATCTTCAGGTGGTCTTTTTTTTTAGGTCAAGTTTTCTTTTTTTTTTTTGTACCGGGGGTTGAACTTGGGACCTTGTGCTTGTGGGGTAGGTCAAGTATTTTTAAAAGGTAAAGTAGGAACAGGCTCTCTGGGAATCTGAAATCACTGCAGCTTTTGAAAGACATCTACTCTTCAAACAAAAAATACAGACATGTCAACATAAAGGGCTCAGTTTATGAAATAACATTAAGCCACAGCAGTCATGGACAAAAATAAGAACTGCTCTCAAAGTTTCAGATCAAGCAATGCTTCAAGTTGATTTAAAAATTATTTAAAAACAAATTAGGTGTGAATAAAATATTCACATTATGAACATGTTCTGCTTCTCTATAAATGAGCAAATGGGGATCCATGCAGCCAGCACAGAGGTGCCCTGGAAGGGCATTAACACCTCCATTAACAGTATCTCCTCATGAAGCTGTATCAAAGAACATCTCTGTACACAGCAGGACTTTTTTACAAAATTCCTGTGAGATGGGCTGGCTAAGACAGAGCAACTCTATGTCTAGTGGTTTGTAAGGGTCACACAGCTAGTTTCATGCATTACATCAGCTTATCACACATTATACAGTATTTATTTAAAATACTTTATGAAATAATTCTGTTAAATCCTCCTAAACGCACACGTTCCACAAAGAACTATCCAACAGTACAGTTGAAGAAAATCTAAGAGATATCTACTTACACTTTTGCACTCTATGGATTAAAATTTTAAAGTATAGAATCAGTTTAGCTATTCAGCAGGAAATAACAGAAAAAAAATGAGAGAAAAATAGCTCCTACTGAAAGATTTTACTTGACAGAATATTTTGCTCATATTTGTGAACTATATGCTACCTAGTATTGGCCAACTTCAGTTTGACATAGTTTTAGGTACTCAACACTGACGAGATAAAGAAAAGGAATTTTTTTTTTTTTGGTATCGGGGATCGAACTCAGGACCTTGCACTTGGGCAGGTGCGGTGCCACTGAGCTAAATACCTGGCCCAAGAAAAGGAATTTAATGTCCCAACTGCTGGGGATGTGAGACCGGGGAAAATAGGAAAGATGGAGTAATAATCTGGAGAATGCTTACCATCAAGTCTATTCAGCAGGTCATTCTTTGGTAAAGAAATTACTTCCACAAATTCTAAACAAACAAAGTACAAGTGAAAACAGAGCTGAAAACACAAGCCTACCCAATAACCCACAGCATCTGTTGCCATTACCACCATGTTAAGCTGTGCATGCCCAGCCAGCGGCAGTTGAGTAACATACCTCCATCCCCTGAAAATGAACAGAAGGAGAGCGCCCTTAGCAAGTCTGGAGTGGGAAACCTGGCAAGACTGTAACATAAAACGTATCAAACAACTACGAATTTAGCAGAGAGCTGAGTTTTAGTAATTCATCTCATAGGAGAACAAAGTCCAACAGCACAAAGTTACTATTCTGCAATATATATGTATTTCTTAATATAGATATCTGTTGCAATTCAGTGACATTAAATAATATTCACCATTAATCTTGTAACTCTTTCGTCATTCCAAACAGAAGCTTGGAACCCAATGAAGTTCTCATTCCGGGTAATCTCTGCTCTGTTCTGTCTATGAACAGGTCTGTTTTGCTTATGTCATGTAAGTGGAATCACAAACCACTTGCCCTCTGTGCCTGGCTTATTTCACTTGGCACAGTGTTTCCAAGGCCCACCCATGCTGTAGCGTGCCTCACTCTGACTTAGGGCTCAGGGACTCCCTCCTGGGCACTGCACGTACCACATCTGTAGCCGGACCTTTCACCCATTCTTGCTTTGCTCACAAAGTGCTGTGTAAGTATCTGAGTGGGCTCTCACGGGGTGGGGGGGTATAATTAGGAGTGCAGATGCTGGATCATGAAGTAGTTCTGTATTTAACTTTTTAAGGAATTGCCAAACTCTCCCACCACATGTCACATGCATATTCACAATTTAAAAATTAAGCATTTAAAATGAGCTGTAATGGAATACTGAAACATAATAACCACTAAAGAGGGTAAGAAATGAAAGAATTACCACTCATGCATGATTTATTCTTGTATATAGATAAATACCCGTTAAGGGTTGGGAGAGATGACATGGAATTGAAAAAGACACTCAAGGGCTGGAGATTCAGCTCAGAGGCGCTGCGCCTGACTGCGAGCCCAAATACCAAAAAAAAAAAACACACTCACGCTTTTGAATCCCAACTTGCTAAGAGCAAAGAATATCCTAACAGATTCTCTAAAAAATATCAAAGTCCATAAGGAATAATTGTTAACTGTTCTTTAACAATGACTTATGCCACCCTTACAATGCACAGGAAGAGAGAGCCAGGTGACTCTGAAGCTTCTCATTGTATCTAGGCTTCTAGCTCGTATCACTAAGTGGAATAACCCTCATACAAACAATACTGAAATGTGTAACTCAATAAAATTGTGGGATGTTTATTCCAACTCAAGTGCTCTCAGTGAAACCAATGCACTTACCTGGCTTTGGCTTAGGTCTCACATTTTCTGCATCATCTCCATTGATTGTAACTGTCACGATGTGAGTGGTACAGTTTGACAAACCCGGGTCCATGCAAACAACTATGGAAAGAAGCAACGATCCATCCTAAGAAAACAGTTGGACGTGTCAGTCCCTTTTGTATCTCACTACCTAAATGTCTCAGGAGGATGACACAGGGCTCAGTTGATGCAGAAATGATGGAGGAAAACGACAGCTATTCTGTGCAGTCAGTGTGTGTGGTAGTACGGACAGGAGAGCATACACATGCCAGGTTCCCAAACTCTTCGCAGAGCTTGAGTCCAGTTTGTGCGTCTGAGGGGTTAGATGGTATCTACAAGCCCCCCCCCAAAAAAAAAGACATCCCAGCAGCAAAAAAGCTTCCAGTGAGGACTGCAGCATGCGGATGAGCTAAGTAACAAAGTTTAGGACGTGGGAAATTCTGAAAGGAAACTTGGTTTCATCATTCACCACTTCAGGTCCCTCTCATTCCAACTTGCTCTCCTCAGAAGAGTTGCACAGCTGGTGATCAACTTTTATAAAGTTACATAAAATAAATCCACCTCAATTCTACCAGTGGAAGACCACTCACATGATCAATCCCTTTATGCCTAGATGAATTTACTGCTTGGTTAACTTTCAAGAGCCTGTGCCACAGCCTGTGTATTGGGAAAGAGGCACAAACCTGGGGAACATTCAGCAATATCGCCTTTATAGCCAGTTTCTTCCTCCAGCTCCCGAAGCGCAGCTGCTTCTGGGCTCTCATTGTCATCGATGAGACCTGTCAGGCAGGAAAGGACAAGCTCACTTTTCTATGACTGGCACATTTTCCTAACACAGCTGCTGCTGAACCTTGGGAAAAGTGGTCTTACAGCGAAAGCTGACTGAGGTTTAGAACTTTTATAGTCTAAAGATGAAAAGGCAAAATAATAAGACCCCTGGCAGATTAGGATCTGATAGGTATCTTCCATTTCTCACTATTTAGATCTCAACAGTGTTAGCATTTGTGAGGAAAAGGCACTTGATAGCAGCCTTAGGCTTTTAAAGCTGGCTATGTGACAATAGCACAGAAATGATCATCCTTTTCTGTTTTCTTACATGTAAGGTGGTGACAGTTCTATCAATCTTGACTGTTTTCCTCATAGGAAAATGTGGAGGCCTGGTAGTAAGAGGCCAGTGGGAATGGATGGCACAGGGAGTGGACTTGTTAGGTAACCACAATGACCACTGTGCACAGCAGATAGAGTCAGTGCAGGAGAAAAGCAACTCTGATTCTTTTTCCTGAATGGAATAAAACAATGTAAAGAAAATGGGAAACGCAGGCTATTCAGTGACTTTCAGTGTTACTCATTTCTTTAGTTAGATGGCAAGTAAATGAGAAAAGAAGTTAACATCGTTACCGTGGGCTGGGCTTTCCCCTCACTGCAGGGGTCAGACCCGGTTTGTCCACACAGTGAGAGCGCTCTATACTGAGCTAGGAAATTGTGTCAGGCTGATAAAGAGCAGGACGATCCCGGTAACACCCGGCTTTCAATCCTGGGTCATTTCTTTACTGTGACTAAAGAAAGATACTCGATTTGAAACTGAGAATTTCCTTGGCCTGTCTATACAGCGGGTCAAAGAGTCTTTTCTACAGATGGCTTTGGAGTTAAGAGCCTGACCTACCCAGCATTATAACTTCTTTCCGGGTCAGACACTAGTGAAAGTGAATACGCTGACAAGTTAAGGAGAGCAGCTCTTCCTGGAGAAGCTGGGCAGTGCTGCAGAGGTCAGCGGGGCGAGGTGGGAAGAGTCCCATGCCTCACGAAGGGAATGATCTTGTTTTACTGACAGCCACAGTTTTATAGTCAGATGAAAACGGTCAAAGATGTAAGCACCGCAATTCTCAGGCTTTGCTGTGGCTCAAACCGACAGAGCCTGAGAGGTAACGCAATGCCTGCTCCTGGCTGCTCACCTGCAGGGAACTCCAGGCAGTAGCCGCCCACCGGTGGCCGGAACTGCTTCACCAGCACGATGCACTCGTAGTGCAGAGTCCTCTGCAGCACCGGGATGACCGCTATGCCTGTCACCAGAAAACCAGAGCAAGGGGGCTAAGGAAGGCGGGCCAGACTTCCAATTTGTTTACAGCAATCCAACTAAACCCCCAGAGGGCAAGAAACTCACATCTACTCTGAACACCATTAAGCAATAAGCAGTTAACAGTGTTGGCAGTTAGCTTTGGAAACTATTTTCATTTAAAAAAAATTACACTTCTATGTTTGAATTATTTTTCTAAATAAAAAGCTCATTTTAGTTGTGATTTTTCTTTTGAGAAAGAAAAGGGTAGCATCTTGCTGCATTGCCCTGGCTGGCCTTCAACTCATTCTTCTGCCTCAGCCTCCAAGTAGCTGGGACTATGGGCATGAGCCACCATACCCAGTCACAAGTTTCTAAAAAAACTAAAATTGAAACTGAGACCAGACACTCCACGTGGGACCAGGGGCATGAAATTTCAGCCTCTACCAAGTTCTGCACAGAACCATTTCTTGCCAGCAGCAGCTGGATCATGGGGGAAGCTAATGTCCTTTAAGCAGTAAGCCAATTTGAGTGTTTCCTGCACGGGCTAACCAAACTGACTTTTACAGTTTAAGTGGATGACGTATTCTTTCACATCATGCAGCTTTAATGGAAACAAACGCTGCTGGTTGCTGGAAAAGACCCACCGCCCAGGAAGGACACGTCCGCACTGGCTCAGAACAGCCAAGCTGCTCTTTGCTTCCAGCAACCAAAGGGAAAACAACGGTAAAGCCCGGAAGGCCGAGCTTCACTTCCTCACCCGCATGTGCCTGCCAGGGTTGCACCTGAGGGCTCCGCAGTCAAACCACCCCTGCCAGGGAGGGAGGGTGAGCTGAAGGGACAGCGAGCTGAGGGGACGGCTTTCTCCTGCTCCCCTTCGTCATCACCTGGGGTGCAAGCGGTGCCGCATGCAGCTGAGCCTCTTTTTTTTTTTGGTACTGGGGATTGAACTGTGGCCCCTGCGCTTGTAAGGCAGGTGGCGGAATCACTGAGCCAAATCCCCAGCCCATGGGCTGTGTTATATTTTAAGGCTCTCTCTCCCAGATCCTTTGAACAGAGTTATGAGTCTAGCAGTCTTCACACACACAGACCCTGTGTGGCCCTCAAATGATATCAGTTTGTTGGGCTAAATAGTGCATCTTTTTAAAAACAATGCTCTGAGCTTTGGCACGGTGGCCAGAGGTTACTTACAAAGGAAGCTTCAGCACTGCAAAAACCAATTTACAAAGAAAAGGTTAAAAGCAAAGACAGCTGTGCTCAGCAGCCTCGGGGCCCTTTAATACCCTCCCATCATCCCGCCTGTGAGCACCCAGCACAGGAGGTCTCTGCTATCCTACCGTCAGCAGACTGCCCCCTCCTGGTTGTACGCTTCACGGTTTCCCAAGTTCTGTTCAGGCAGAGAAGAAAACAACTCATTAGTGCTGAAGAGGAGAATGTTCTCAGGTTTTCTGCATCCAACCAGAACTTCACAAATGCAATGCATGCAAAAGTACTAATACTGGTCAAGAAGACCATGACAATACAGATCTGAAGTCACCGAAGAAAATGGGTGCCACTTTACACCTAACCCTTGGGAGCCACCTGCACAGGAAGCCTGCTGAGCGCTGGGGCTGCCACTTTCTCAAACACGTCAGCTGGGAACCAAAGACACCATGCAGGACGTGACCCCTGAGACCACTGAGATAGGTAGGTCTTCTGGTTCATGTGGCTTAAACTATGCAACTTAGGAAAGCAAAACATTCCTATTTAGTAAGCGAGGAATTATTCAGTTCAGGTGACTGCTCCACTTTGCATGAGTTAGGTCTTATCTAAGGGGGCAGAAGTGGTCTCCAGAGGAAAAAGTGAGGTAGTAACAGCAACTGCTTCCCTTTTGTGGCTTTACTTGTCAGTGGTTTGTTTCTGGCTCTTTCCTACTTTGCTTTTGGTAACATCTGCGCTGTTGTCCCTCTCACAGGAACAGCCATGTAGAGAATCACAGCATTTAAAGGGAGAGGGCATAACGGGAAACGACCCATTTCTCCTCTCATCCTGGAGGTGGAGGACGCTGTGGTAAAAGACAGGGGTGGAGAAGCAAACGACTTCAGGATCTCTTCTAAAGGATGTTGAGTAAGTAGTGGCAATGGGGCCTGGGATAAGAAAGGAGTCAACACTGCACCCAGCCCAAGAGTTATAAGAGGTGCCGTGTGGACAAGGCCTCTGCGTCATCTGTGTTCTCTCACCCTAAGCTTTGGACCTTGCCCATTTCCTGAAAGGTTTTTCAATACTTAGTTTATCTGTAAAACTGTATACATCTTTCAGCACTGTAGCCAATGCTAAAGGGCCAGGTGTACAATGAACCTATCAAAATCAAACAGGACACTATGACAGCTCACAGCAGCCCAACATTCCTGTTAGTAGCCAGAAGCCAACCAACAAGCACTTTCTGATGAGTAAATGATACAGACTGCAAGAGACAAAACACCTTTTGGCATAGCTCTCTCTGCTGCCTCTTAAGGTTAGTCCTAAAGACTGAAGACAGCACTGGGAAAAGCACTGATGGTCCCATCCCAAATACACTAGGAATAAGGGAAACAAAAAGAGTAGCATCATTACAGTGGTTAAAATGAAGAAAAGAAGCAGTAAAGAGCCATAAGGTACGAGCAATAAAATATAAATGCATTCATGAGAAACAGAAGAACAAGAATTTCCTGCGAGAGCGCCAACTATCTTTTTCTTTTTGGGGTACTGGGGACTGAACGCAGGGCCTACCCACTGAGCTACATCCCCAGCCCTTTTTAATTTGAGACAGGGCCTCACTAAATCCAACAATCTTAAAGGGACTCACAGAGATGTGCATTTGGCTATTGTTATGTGAGAACATCTTAGTCTCTGCTTGCCTCTCTGCTAAACCCCAAGCTACAACCTCCGGGAGATGTTTTCTGCCTGTGAACCTTAGGGGTTAAGCATGCCACACTGTCTCAGAAGAGCACACTAACTCAGAAATCTCTTCTACTTTAGAACCCCGCTTCCGTTTAATGGACTCTGCTCTCCAGTGTCTTCTGTTACAGGAAAGCCTGGTTTGCTCTTCCCTCTCTAGTCCACCAACACATGAGCCAGACCGGTAACAAGGCACGAAGGCTCAGCACTGTCTTGACTGGCGAGCTTGACCACCCTGCATTTTCACACTTCTAAAACTAACTCCACATTCTTTCTTCCACCAACAAGACAGCAGAACAAAGGATTCTCTGTAGGTGATAAAGAACACAGTTTTATAAATTGAAACAACAGACTACTAGAAAGCAGAGATTCATTCTCCAAAGCCTGACATTCTGCTCTGACACATCAATGCTTTGCAGGAGGCCTCGTCAGAGGTCAAGAGGAAGACGCACGCGTGGACGGGCGGAGGCTGCATAAGCACAGCACTCTGGTGGAGACCTCAGCGCCTCCTCCCAAACTAGTGCAGGCTCTGCAGAGAGATCGGTGCACTAGTACCCTGAAAAACAATCTCAAACGGTTCTGATGCACATTCCCGACGGACGGACGCTGGAGGGGAAGGTGACTAGTGAGGAGATAAGTTGGCACAGACCAACACATATGCCCTAAGCTAAACAGAGTTGAGGGCCACGTTATGGTATAAACTTCAATTTATCGGAAAAAGAAAACCAAACTGTATCACTCCACATGGGGCTTCAGTATCTGTGTATTGGCACAAACACAAAGACATGAGTGCACTGTGCTCCCCAGGGCTTGGGCCTCGCCACCTCTCTGTGGCGGGTTCGGCCCCTGTGCCTGCTCTCGCATCCACTTCTGTGCTCAGACTCGCTCACATGTGAAGTGCTCTAAGTCGCATCGGTCTCCTGTGGTGCTGAGGATCACGAAGTGCTGACTTAGCTCCTGTCTGTGGCCCTCCAGCACCGCGCTCACTAAGGCTTTTGCTAGTGTAGCAGCTAAAATCAAAAGCTGTTTAAATTACCGGCGAGACCATATATTTTCACCTTAATGACAAACACATCTGTCCACAGAGAAACCTGCCTCTTATTTGATCACTTACAAAGTTATTTTTAAATGAATCTGAATCATGTAAATTGTACAATAAACTTAGTTTCCATGTTTCTGTTTTCTTATTGTATTACACAGAAACTAAATATTTTAATACTCCTCCCCCTTGATTTATAATACCAAAAAACTGCTAGGCAGGAAGTGTGGAAGACAAAAGTTACACAGCTGCCCTTTCCCTATTCTTGTTTTTATTCTAGGCTTTTCTTACACATTGGCAGTTTTACGAAGTATATAAACTATTTTCTATTTTACTATCAACATCCTAACTTTTCCCACTTTGCTAGATCTCTTCAAACATAACAATTAGTTCCCCAGTTTTTCCCCAGAGCTGGGGATGGAACGCAGGGCCTCACACATGCTTGGTGAGTGCTCTACCACAGAGCTACACCGGCAGCCCTAGCTCCCCTTTGTAAGATGTTTAGGTTGCTGACTTTTACATTTTTTAATGAACATTTTCCATGCATATATCTAATACCAAACAATAGATCATTTTCTTAGCACAGTCTCAGAAGTGGGTTTATTAGGTCAAGAGGTGTTTTTATGGCTACTGATATATATAGTGAAATATGGTTCACAAAAAAGATGTTTTTCCAATTTACATTTGCATGAACAAGGTGTAACCATCTGAGTTTTGCAGCAACACCTTTTCCTCTTTAGTTCTTAGAGATTAAGATTGGCTTAACTTAGAGCACCCCCACCCTTTTGTTTTACCGGGGATCGAACTTGGGTCCTTGCGCTTGCAAGGCAGGCCACCAAACTGCGGAGCTAAATCCCGGGCCCTAAGATTGGCTTAACTTAAAAGAAGCAACACATACTATTAATTATTCTACTTACCTCAAATTAGGCTTGACCCAAAGTTTTAGGTTTACACTTATCTGAGAATAGACTCCTAATTAGTTATTTTAACAAATTTACAACCCATTTTATTCAGAGATGACCAATTCAAACATTCTAACAATGGGAAAAATTTTTAGACTGTTCAATTAAAAAACAGTTTACAATGAGAAAAACATCAAAGTTTATGTCAATCACCAACAGATACCCAAAGAACCCAAATACTCATTTTACAAGAGGGGGGAAAAAGTTTACCTAGTTTTACCAGTAGGATCCATGTAAGTTGTTTTTTCAAGCTTGACCCATTTTCCTTCTGAAATTAACTAAAAGGAGATCAGATAGTAAGTTGAGAAACTTTCAAATCACATTGGTTTTTTTAATCTAAAAGGGCATTATTTTTTTCTTTTATATTTTATATATGTAGTCCCTCCAATAATTTGTGGGCAAGTTCTCAGTTCAGAGTAAGTGTTGAAAGTTGTTTTTCTTTTGGAATTTCTGAAGTAGTACTGAGAGGTGAAAAGAAATAATGATCTTTAAAAACTAAGAAGGGTGCTGGGGATTAGCGCAGTGGTAGAGCACGTGGTCAGTGTGCATGAGGCCCAGGGTCCAGTCTCCAGCACAAAAAAGTAAATAAATGCAAACTCTTGGGTTGTTGGGAGTACAGGGCAAATGGGCGGGAGTCCCAGGGGACGGGGTGCTCTGGGGTGCTCCTAACGCTCTGCTCCCTGGTCTGGACGCTAGCCACAGAGATGCACTGAGTATGCAAAAATTCACCAGCGGTGAACACTGTCAATGTCCCCGACTGGACTTCCCACAGTCTGAGAAGGCACCCGGGACTGTCCCACCTAGACACTGCACTGTACTGAAATGACAGGGAAGTTTCACCGTGTACTTAAAGCAGGAGCCTTTTCCTCACTATCCTTTCACTTCTAATAACTATTAGCAGATCTGTTTACAGACAACATGGAAAGATAGTAAAGCAAAAAGAATTCCAGGAAGGTGTCAAGGTCACAGTCCCAGAAGGATTTAAAATTTATCCTTTGCAATGGTTCCTGCAAGAAGAGACTTTTAAAAATCTAAATTGCATAACATACAAGACAGACAGTAGCTCTAGTGCTCAGTGTAATTTGGACTACAATCAACAGTTTAAGTTTTGATGATCTTGTTATACACATTGGGACCACAAACAGAACTAAATATGAAGTCACAAAGTCTTAAAACTCACACATTCATTTCTCTAGCCAGGGAACCTTTTAATAGGAATTAAGAATTTGTCTTATCAAGAGCCAAAATCTACTTACCATCTAATTTCCTGACAACATATGGCTAAGAAGGATATGCTACCATTCTCACCCGAAGAAAGAAGTGCCTGAACCTTAAAATGGGAGTAGGGTTTAAAAACTGTTAAGAACGAAAGAAAAACAATCACCTGAAATAATAAACAAACAGCCTACATGCTTCTTTTAAATTCAGATCTATGCAGAGAAGGGCAAGGAAAGTGAAAAACAAGTCATACCTCCTCTGAAATAATAGACTGTTTGGTATTCTGAGAAGAATCTGTTGGCTCTTGGATCTCCATTTCTGACCTTGTTAGTCTTTACAGTCCCCAGGTGAGAGGGTCCCGCTGCAAGATAATGAGATTTGTTCAGGCTAAAATTTTTCTGAATCAAGCAACTGTCCATAGGCTGTGCACAGCACTTAAATGGCAAAACATTTATTCACCATCAAAGCTGCTGCTCCCATGTGAACATCTGGGGCAACCAGCCAGATGGAAAAGGAGATCCAGAGGTCCCCAGAAACACCCAGGCGAGAACCTCAGTCAGAATCAGCGCTCATTAGTTCCTATTGTGCTTCCCGCGGTGGTGAACCTACAGCATGTGTGCCCCAGCAGGCTCTAAATGGTTTGCCATTCCTGAACAGCACTAGGCCCTCATGTACACCCCCGCCCCCCGTACTGGGGATCGAACTCAGGCAGGCGGCGGCATCACTGAGCTAAATTCCCGGGCCCCTTATGTACTTTCTTAATCCGGTGTTTTGACAACCTGGGTTAGTGGAAGATTCATCTACCTCTTGTTACCTAGAGTGTGCACCCAGGTAAACATGCAGATCTCAAACTGTATGGTCTTGGTTACATCCAGACCTCCAGAGCCAATTTTTGAGTTCATTAAGTCAAGAGTCCGCTTCCCTACGAAAAGGGCATTCGACCTGGATTTCCAGAAACCCAGGCAACACGTTCCTAACACGTGACACAAAAGCAGAGTGTCCCCAACCCCTCCATGTAACTATCTTTAGGGACAAAGGGGCCCTAAAGCATCAATTTAGGCACTGTAAGGTGCCATTCTACTTTGTCAAAGTAATTACACAAAAATGCACATGATTTATAACAGTAAGTATAGCTGTATTCAATAGCTTTGGCTATAATAATAAAACTTAAAAACCACTTTTAAAGGGAAAATATTCTGACTAATCCTGATCAAGATATTCTGGTATTTTTTGGTGGTGCTCTCACTTTTGTATAATTTAAGGTAAAACTAGTGCCTTTAGAGTTGGATAAAACTTCAAGGCATTTAAACTACCTGCTAGGTCCCCTTATGTACAACAGCATCTTTACAGCTCTTCTCATTTTCAGTGGGATGGCCACTGCAAGTGGGTAAGAAAGTACTATCCAGAAGGAGAGCTCCTCATCTACTAATCTTCCTTTAACTGAGTTACAGTCAATCAAAAAGGCCAAAAATCAAACCTCATCAGCACAATAAACTATAAAACAGTAGTTTCAAATACCTTGTATTAAAAGATATTTAAGCTTGGGCTGGGGATTTAGCTCAATGGTTCGGCCACCTGCCTTGCAAGCACAAGGACCTGAGTTCGATCCCCAATACCAAAAAAAAAAAAAATTTTTTTTAAAGCTAAAATATTAACTACCCAGGGCTGTGGGGGGGGGAAGCTAGACATAAATTACCAATAATTAAAAATAAAAGAGTGGCAGACAAGGCTGGACCTCACAACAGGAGCCAGTCAGTCCTGAGAGAGCATATTCTGAAGCAATCCACTGACAGTGTGAATAACACCAAAAACTAAGTAGCAACAAGTGAAAGTATACAGACAGTACCCTTTACTACAAGATTCCCAAAATGATTCAGAAGTGTAGCAGCACTTCAAAAATAGTACTGAAACAGGAAAGGGGTTATTTTTAGCACTCTTTCAAAAAACAGAAGCCAAATCCTAACTCTGGGGCTACTCACCACAAGCGTCTCGCTGCAGAAAGAAAAAGACATGAGACTTAGTCCATGTGTCACGCTGCGAGTCTCTGCTACTGAAAAGGAGCTTTCCTACACAACTCAGTGCTATTTCAAGATTTAAAAGGTAGTTTGATACTGAGATAGGATTAGAGATCCAGACAACAGGAAAAGCATTCCAACTAGAAGGAGCCATATGAATAAAGAACAAATGCTACTGGGTCAAAGTTAAGAAATTATGAAAGTCTGGCAAGCTCTTTTGCTCCCAACTTTTCCTCCACCTTGCTTAAAAACCTAAAACAAAACCCCTGCAGCAAATGTAGCAGACCTTAACATTTGCATTTTCAGGGAACACAAACTTGGCTGGATCCCTGTCTCCTCCCCTCTGTTTTTTTGTTTGTTTGTTTGTTTTTTGGTGTTTTGAGACAGGGTCTCACTATGTAGTTGAGACTGACCTGGAACTCATTATGTAGCCCAGGCTGGTCTCGAACTCACAGCGATCCTCCTGCCTCAGCCTCCCAAGTGCTGGGATTATAGGTATGTACCACCACGCCCTGCTCCTGTCTCCTCCCCTCTGAATGTGCTGGTAAAATACTCAACCCCGACAGGGATACCACACGTTTCTGTGGCTATGAAAGCTACTTTTGGGTTAAGCAACAGGTACAACCCACAACCAAAGGGCAGGAAGATAAGTGATTGTTCACAAACGTGGGTTTTTCCGTATTAATACCAGCTGGATAAGAGCTGAGTGGAATTTAAGATTCAAAAAGTTGAACTGAGAACTCCAAAGCCAGGATGTAGTGTCTGTACTCAGGCTCATAATTCAACTATTATATCTGAATCCCTGCAATTTGTGGAGGTTGCAAATGCAGCAAAAATCATAGTAAATTACACACTGGCCAGTACCTATCTCCTTGACGAAACTTTTCACAAGCATCAGGAACACTCATCCAAATAACAGATGGAAGAATTGGCCCAGTGTGGTGGCACAGGCCTGCAGTCCCAGCCAGTGCAACAGTGAGACCCCAGGCCGGCCTGACCCCCACTCTGGAGACAGACATAGAAATTCCACTCATAAACACAGCTCCCATGACAGAAAAGGGTCAGGTGGCTGGAACAGTTTCATGATGTCATTGTAAAATCAGTGAGAAAGAAATTAAATGGAGATAGCAATTTTGGTGGAAATAACTTACTTTATAATCTTATTGTTAAAGCCAAGCATCAATTTATGCATACTTGGGGACTTCTAATCATTTACCCGATGGTTTATCATCATCATCACATTAATTCTGGTTGAGCAAGAATGAAACAACTGTGCTGACCCTTGCAAAGGTCAACTGGCTACAGACTGTACAGTTACCACACCCAGAGGGAACCTCCTGAGATAGTTCAGGCCAGGGATAACTGAGGCATGCAGGAAGGTAGTAACAGTGACAAAACAACAGCGACAACATCTACTTCCTTGCAGATGACAGTTAGTGTCTGTCCTAAAATAGAATTCCAGGCAAGAAGTAAATCTAAACCACTTCCAAGAAGGAGATGGTTCTAAAGGAGATCGGGACAACAGAGGCGGTGTGGGAGAGCAGTCACACCTGGATGCCCTGAGTTGGTGGTGGTAGCCTGATGCCCAGGTGGAGAAAACCGCCCGACAGTTATTAACTAATCTAAAAGGACTGATCACACCATGGATTCAAAGGGTATGTGCTGTTTCATTCTTTGCTTTGGAACTGTGAGATAAATCCTCTTCTTCACAATCACTTGACTACTGACTTTTTTTTTTTTTTTTTTTTGGTATTAGGGATTGAACTCAGGATGTTGTGCTTGTGAGGCAGGCGTCAGGAACACTGAGCTAAATTCCCAGCCTACTGACTCTTTAAATATGCATAAGAAAAAAAAATGATTCCCACTGTTGTAGGGGTCTTATGGGGGAAATTTAAATATAAACACTGCATGGCTAAGTGAAGATCAACAGGGTGGTTAAAAAGTCACTAATTTAGCTGCATTGTTCAAATACAAGAGCATTTCCTGTTCTGTGATGTGAAATTATTGGATTCTGGGTGAATGTGTAACAAGTTACCTAGATCCAGCTGTGAGTAATACTAAAAAAACAAAAAACACTGAAGACAGTTCTAGAGCTTGAATAAAAGACATCTATGTCAAACTTCTCCCCTGTACAGTATTTAAATTTAAAATTAACTCTTTTTCATTTTGTTTTTTGAGACAGGGGGTTGTTATGTAGTCCACACTGGCCTCAACCTCAGGGCAAGCCTGCCGCAGCCTTCTGAGTGCTGGGATTACAGTCCAGTGTCACCATGACCAGCTTCCCATGTAATTGGCTCTTCTACAGAAAAACACCTTACCCGGATGCACCCCCATAGGGACAGTATTTCCTTCAGCTGCAACGTTTATACTGCACTTTCAGGCCAAATATGCTTACAGTAAAAACAAATGGGACAGCACTATCAAGACCACTGCGAGGTCTCTTAGCTCTGTTAGACTAGTACCATTCTCTAGTATTAGGGGATGGAATCTTGCTTCTGTCCCTCAAAACACAAAGGACTGTTTAATTTTTGGACTTCAGTAGTACTCGCAACCTGGCATGGTGGCCCAGACCTGTAATCCCACCACCCGAAGAGACTGAGGCAGGAGGATCGCCCTAAGTTCATAAACTAGCTTGAGTTACATATGAGCTCAAGGCCAGCCTGCACAGTGAGACTCTGTCTCAAGACACCCCCCCAAAACCAAAAGAAGTACCCGCAAATGAGCCACTACAGCCCATACTGCACGAACACACACCGCAAGGTTAAAATCTACTTACCTCTGCTTTGAAAATGCATCCTCTAAAGCAATACTCCCAATTAACTACTTAGCCAGTAACTTCTTCTCCCACCTTTTGCGGTACCGGGTCTTTACCTATTTGTTTACTTATTTTGAGACAGGGGCTCTTTAACCTGCCCAGGTTTGCCTCGACCTTCTGATCCTCTTGCCTCAGCCTCCGGAACAGCTGGAATTACAGGTGCGTGCTGCCACTCAGCACCAGTAACATTTCTGAGAAAAATTACCTTCGGCAGGGAAGTTTCTAACTCCAAATACACGTGGATCCCGTTGTTGCTAATGAACTCCTTTCTAGAGGAGCCTGCAGTCGGTGGGGTCCTTACATCTAATGCAAACCAGCTTTAACGCGGTGTCTGCTGCGTGCAACTGTGAGACAGAAGTGCCTGGGACGTGCCCAGAGTCTTGTCAGGATAGGAAGCGCCACCAGGTCGCAAAGGCGCTTCTCAGTAGCTCCTGACCTCATTCTTCTAGAGAAACTTTGTAGGATGCTAGGTGGACTGGGGAGACCGGGGGGAGTGGTACTGTAAGAGCAAATGGAATTCGTTCATCACGGGAGCGCTAATGAAAATCTGGTTGTTTTTCGAAGCTGGTAACTTGTACGGGGCTGGACTACATCAACTCGATGCGCAAAGCAGCCGACAGCGTCCTCTCTCGTCGACCTCCGCTGCACGACCCCAGCCCCATCCCCGCTACCGCCGGGCCGAGCTGGCGGAATTCCCTCCCGCAGGGGTCAGCTCCCTCCTCCGCGGAAGCCGCCGCACAC